CGCAGCATTTAATTATAGATTTCCCATGGCAGCTGGATGATTTAATGCCGTTATGTAGCCTTGGAAGTGGTTTCCATGGGAACAGCAGCAAAAAGGAACATGGAACAACATAAACCGCAGTTTATAAACCAAGTTCACTGGGCTGACAGCCTTGAAGGAGAGCAAACATCGACGGTGGAGTTACAGTGGCTGGACGGGGTACAAGTACCATCGGCTCCCATAAATGGATGGTGGGGAAGCATTAAGTAAGGTTTCAAAGTGTCCATAAATAAATTTGGGACTCATCAAAATATACAGCAATAGTATTATTTTATTTATGATTACAAAGTAGTCCTTGGGCTTCAGTTTCCCTAGGCTAAAGCCTAGGCAAGGTCACTGAGCTGGTACATGACTCTTTTGGCAGAAAAAAAAAAAAATCTTCCTCTTATTCTTACGCCTACAACATATGCACTCCCAGCCCACTTCCGGCATATGTGAGATGCCAACAATGGAGTTGGGTACTGGCATGATGCAACTTCATGATGTAAATCCATCTTACGCCTACGACATATGCACTCCCAGCCGACCTCCGGCATCTGTGAGATAACAACAATAGAGTTGGGTACTGGCATGATGTAACTCCATGATGTAACTCTACTTATGCCTACAACATATGCACTCCTAGCTCACTTCCGGCATCTGTGAGATGCCAACAATGGAGTTGGGTACTGGCATGATGTAACTCCATGACCATAAATGAAAACATCAATGGCAATAGAGGAGACTTCAATGCCAGAAGAAATGGTGATGAAAATGATGGTGGACAGATCTACAAGTGACCTCAAGGTGCAGCTCCAAACTGTGAGTGCTTGAGGAGGGTAAACCCAGAGGTGAGTCAGCGATAATGTATAAGCATGTTGTGCTTACTTCCATAATATGGAAATAACTGCCCTTCCGCTGGCCATGCTATGGTTCCATTTTCATGATAAAATTTGGGGCTCCGAAAGATTATGGTTGCTGCATATTGTGACATGATAGGAATCTTTTCATGGACACTTATAAAATTACTCTGACATATCCTCTTCAAGTCAGGGCTGGACAAATCCCAGCGAGCCAGGTCGCCAATGTTCCTTAAATATAAAAGCTTGTGCCCAACTTTGAGGTTTTCTCTAGATGTTGTCAATTGGAACTGGAGCCTAAAGAAAATCTTGCTGGTTCCTGGATGGGACATAATGGCTCCAGCATTTCATATTAATTTGTCCATCCCTGCTTTAAGTGGACATCTGTTGCAAGCACAAAGACAAATATTTTGCAGATGTTTGCAAAACTATTGCAGTTGACCATCCAAGATGGCAGGCACAGGGAAGGCTTATATAAGCAAAAGCACTTCCTGTTTGCTAAATAGCAGATTTGCACAAGTCAGACAGCTTTTATAATTGCCATTTTGCTTAATTTATCCCACTTTTACAGCTATAATTTACAGGAAGAACCGTAGACCTGTGACAGAGAAGACACCTTATAATAGGGCTATGGAAGAACATTTGCTGGAGGTGCCACTGTGTGGCGTCCACAGCGATTTCCTGAAGCCTGACTGCAGCCTGTCAGAGACCTGCACTTCGTAATAATTGGAGACTCTTGGCAGTTCTGTTATGGCTGCCAGCTGGATTCTTCCCTAAAAGTGAGGAGAACCAGAGTGGAAATTTTAGGGAAGAACAGTAAGAAAAGTTGGCAGAAAATTCCTTTTTTATGCTCATTCGGTGAGGAAATTGAAACAAGAAAATAAAAATCTAAGCAGATGAGGCCTAGTTTTATCAGTGTACAAGCAGTTTATAGTGATTAAGAGGATCATCGACACAAGATGACCTCGGTCCAATCTGGCAGATTTTTCTGTAAGCACCAGCAAATGCATCCACCACAGGCTACGAAATTGCAAGGGACACAATGATCAGATTGATTAGAAAAGTTGTTTCAAAAGCCACAGATTTCCCTAAAATAAGCCAGTACCAGGTGCACGTGTCTGCCTGCTCCATAGTATCTTCTGATGTCTACACCTAAGGTTAGGCCTTGCCCTACTCAATTTTCCTCTCTCAAGGGAATTGAATGTAAAACACAAGTTTGCCTTATTTACTCACTTTGCAAAGTAAACATGCACGTTGTTAGAGCCCATTCACACCACCTTCGTGTGTTAATCACATGGTCCCGTGCGATTAACACACAATATCGCACAATGCACCTCCCGTTTGATTACAGTGCAGGAAGTGCATTGTGCGCCATTCATTTGAATGGCAATAAGTACTATCCTTGTCGCACTCCTTATCGATATGTCCCTTGTAGTGGGGGGTGCTCGCAGTGACTGCGGATGGCGCTGCGAATGTCAGCAAAATTATAGAAATGTCACCAGCACACCAGTCCTTTTAGGATAGCAAAAAATTTATTGAAGTTTTTTTGTCATATGACCAACAAGCACTTTCGGGACCGCACAGGGTCCCTTCATCAGGCTTTAGCACGGTCAATCGTCAAGCGCTTGTTGGGTCATAGGACAAGAAAACTTCAATAAATTTTTTGCTATCCTAAAAGGACTGGTGTGCTGATGACATTTCTATCATTTTGCATTCATTTGAATGGCACCCAAAACACACCTCCTGTCCGCAGTCCGATTGGCTGCGCCACACCGCGCAGTACTGCAAACACTGTGCGGAGCGACTGAAAAAATAGTGTGTGTGCTGGGAAAGTTTATTTCGTAACATGAAACGTGGTCGCATCAACATCTGTTTTCCCATAGGCCCTAGGTCATTATTTGAAAATGGTGGGCTGTGCGTGGCTCCACCCACACAGCCTCATCATTCACCCACAGATCCTATCCAATGGAGAAACTACAGCCTCAGGGTTTTCCAAACCATTAATTCTTCCTTCCGTCCATGTTACTGAATGTCCCGATGTACGGACATGCACGGGAGGGAGAATCTGCACCCACGTTCCACTGATAACGGTTGCAATGCTTTACTGGCTCCAATGCAAAAAAAACATTAAATGCACATTTTTCTTTTCTGAATATGTGTAAATGTATTATATTTTGTAAAAAGGTGGACTTTACCTTCAAGGGCCCATTCACACCAGACTTTGTGCTAATTGCATAGCGTCTGGTGTGCGGTTCCCCTCCACCAGCATATTGCACTTTGATTTGTTAGAACTTTATTGAAATATCACAAGTGACAATTCATTCAGTTTTACAGGTAGAGAGGGGTGCAAGGCGGTTGTAAAAGGGCGCATCTCTCTGCATTGAAAAAAAACCAAAGCATGCCTTACTCATTTTCAGCGTACACCACCGTGTTCCTACCGCAACACAATGCACACCATCGGTGACAAGGCAAATTTCCATGTCCTGCATTGGGGTTGAGCTGGAAACAATGGTCAGCGCAGCTCCAACGCAGATGGTGTGAATGGGCGCCAATAGAATTAAAAGAAATGGTCCGGCATCAGTTGCCAGTGGGAGTATAAAGTTGTTTTTATCACTCCCATCATTCACTCCAATCACACTCAACCGAACAATCACCAAATAACAATTTTTAACAGTTGCAATTGATATTTTTTAATGCAAAATTGGATTGAACTGAGAACACAAAAAAGGTGGCATATTTGGGCAAAAAATCTGATTTAACGACAAAAATTGTATGGCTAGTCATCTGACAACTGTCAATAAATTACACCTAATTGTGTTTCACAACACGCTCAGCGAGGTCTCCCGCAAAGAGCAAACTTATTAATCTGTCACCTCCTCACAGCAGGAAACAAGCTCTTATCAAGAACAGTCAAAAACTTCCTTCCCCCAAACAAGGAGGTTACGTAGGCAAATATTACAAATCCCGTTGTCTCCCAACTGCGGCCGAATAGAAAAACTTTTTTCATGCAGTTATAATGGCCTTTTAGGCTGACCTCACAGCTATGCGGTATGGTAACCTGCCACTTTTTGCCATGTGTTGCTTTGGTATTGATTTAGAATGGCACCAGACTGCACAAATACAGAAGGAGGCAATGCACCCATCCTGCAACATGCCATGTCTGTGGTGTGCTGCGTTAAAAAAAAAAAATACATACACAGCAGATTTTTTTACTTTGAAAATAATACAAGATGCTCTCTGAATGGCTGACTTGGAGCGCCAATGACCCGCTATCAAAGCTGTACTACAGCCAGAACGAAAAAACTAGAGCTTCCCTCTGTTCAAGTAATGCATCCCCCGCCAGATACCTTAGCCTTCGATATAGCCCAAAGTGTTGGATGCCTGTGCCCCCTGCCCCGTACTATGGCTCCATTCTCAGACCCCTATATCCCTGTGGGAGAAAAGAACCATAGCAGGATAGGCCTCCAACACTCCCGGAAGTCGGACCGAGGCTGTAGCACTTAAACGCAGGGAAGGTAGAACACACAGGGAAGTATAAGACTTCTTCTGTTGCAGGGACTGTCAGATTTTTTTTTTTTTAAGGCAACTGACAGTTGCTTAAGGCACACTAAAGAGAACCTGTCAGATTAGCAGTTATTTTTTTACAGCCAAGGCACAATAGTTTCAAGCAGCCTGGAGGCTTCTATAGCACTGGTACTGGGATGCCAGACATACAGTATTATCGATGTTGCATAGGTGTGCATTGCTTTGAGAAAAAAAAAAAAAACCCAGTAGCTTCCAGAAACGGTTAGGAGCCTTGGCTGTGGAAGGCAACTCGTGAATTGGTAAAGGCCAAAAGGTGAAGAACATCAGCTTCTCTCTGTGGTTCTTCACAGCAACAAAAAAATCCAAAACAACTTCATACAGAAATGATGAATATTAATAACCACAATGGCTCGAGAAGCAATCACAAATGAAACCATATCTCAGCAGAATAGAAGGGGGCTACTGTCCATGGGGCCACAAATGCTGAAAACTATTTTTCAAAGAACAGAAACGCACCTTTAAAACCAGCCAATAAACAACCAAAAATATTTGAGAAATAGGATTTTTGAAAAAAGGCAAATGAAACATGGTACTCACCACATAGGGTTTGCTTCTAATGCTGGTCTCCTCTTGTGGTTTAGGAAGCTTCAGTAGTTTTGGTTCCACGGTAGTGGGAGTACTTGGTGCTGTTCTAGGCAATTCCACAGTGCCAAAGTTATTAGAGTCACCTGTGCCAGTTGGTGCTGGTTTCAATGCATCCTCGAGTAGGGGGGCTATCAAAACTGGATACTGTTTAATGGGGTGTTTTGTGGAGTTGGCACTTGAAAATGAACCATGGCCTAACACTTTACATTCAGGAGGAGAGATTGGTATAAAGGCAGCTGGTTCGCTTGTGTGGCGTACATGTTTGCTGGCTAGTCTAGATTTACCAGAAGCTTCCGTTGGCTCCTCACCTTCTTTCTTGACATCTTGACTACCAATTCTATTAGAACGCTTTTTAAAACTGCGTCGAACCATTCTGGGGGATAAAACATTTACAAGGTTAGGGTCGAAGTTCAAGTTTTGGTTTCCCTCCAACCCATTTTCTTCTGCCTCAATAGGCAATTTTCCAACCTCCTCTTCCACCTCGTCAAGTTCTTCCAGTTCATCTTTTTGTTCAGATAATATTGGCTCGCTACTGGAAGCCAGAATGGACTGCTCTAGCTCTTTTAAAGGCTCATTAGAGTCTTCAAGGCCAGGGGTAGTCAATTCTCCTCGTCGACTCGGGTCACTAAATGACTTTTTCTTGATGGTTTTGCCATTTCCCTTTTCGTCAATGACTTTATCAAGAGCTCCTGGTTGGCTGACAATATTTTGGATGACCATGTTGTAATCTTTAATCCCATCACTGCTGAAGGACAGCACACTAGCAGCACTACCCGTACATTCAGAAAGAGCAGAGGCTGTAGAATCTGAAATCATGGACTTTGCATTTAATGATCCAAGGAGGTTACTGTCCATAGAGAAATGTGCTGGATCTTCAGTGATTGAGTACCGTCGATGGGGCATTGGATCACTCAGAGATCTATAAGTCTCACTTCCAGACTCGCCATTGCTCCCACTGCTAGAATCTGTCCCACCATTACCAAGAGAAGGAAATTTCCTTCTTCGTCTAATTGTTCCAGGTGTCGGTGGGGCATCAAGAGGTCCTTGAGTGTATGCTTTATTGCCTGCAACCTCGGTACAATTATCGCTTTCTAAGTTATCATTGGGTGAAAGTAACTGAGAGTCTCCATTTCGTGTAGGCAAGTATTCACCTTGTTCTTGAGAACTTCCCGTTGACTTCCAAACAGTAAGAGTTTGACCAATGTCTCCATACGAAGTACAGGCTGCAGGTTCAGCCTCAGTTACAATCCCTTCATCGGTCATGCTAGATTCGTGTCCAGATAAGTCCAAGTCTAAAGATTTCCTATATGACTCAATTTCTTCAGCTGCTGACTTATCCAAAAATAGGCTTTCACTGTTTTCACCAACTCTTGTCTCCAACTCTTTTTTTGCACTTTTCAGATGTTCTTCAACCTCCTGATCAAAACTATAGTCATCCTGGGACCCAATTTGTTTTATTTTCTCAAATACTTGCCTTGCTTCCTGAATGTACTTGTCATGTGCTGTATCTGATGCACCTCCATCCCTGCTTTCCATATCACTGAAGACATCTCTTTGTGGAAGTATGGTATCATTATTGGATGGGCAAGCTAGCATGAGCTCAGATGAACTTTGCTTCATGGAACTGTGAGCATTAAGCCTTCTGGACCCTAATTTGTCAGAATATGTAAAAGATTTAGTGCGTCGTAAAGTAGCGGTCAAGTCTTTTAAAGTTGGACGACTTCCTTGTTGTAACCTTTCCTGGCCCCCTGATCTACCTCTGGCTAGCGTGTTTTGAGGCCCAGCAGTGCCTTGGTAGGACTCATGCTTGGCATATAATCCCTCCTTGTCACTGGCCCCCCGTCCTCTATTTTTAAGTTTCAAGTCTGAAATATCGGATTTTAAGAAGTTTAGCAGGCAGAGAGTATCTGATGTAATATCTGGGTTGGACATTGACTTCATGTTACTGGAGCTGTTGTTCTGAGGGTCGCAATGTGAACTATCACTAACATTTTCATCTTTTACTTTTGAAATGCTACAGGGCACTTTTGACCTTGGGCGCATCAGCTGCCTTGACATACTTTCGTGTTGCCCATAGCTTGGTGATCGGTAAATACCAGAACTTCCTTGGAAGCTTCGGGCTTGACTAGAGAAAAAAGGGCTAAAATGGTCATCGTCTCTGAGTGTTTCAGTGCTTGAATATCTACTACTGCCTCGGGAGCCACAGGGGCTGGGCAAAAAGGGAGGAATGTTTACTTTTGCAACCCGAGACACAATGGGGATTGGGGACACCGTAGCCAACTGACCTGAAGTTGTTGGCGTTAAGGTTTCAGAAATGCTTCTGATGCGCTGTGTGGGAGTTTCATGGAAAGCACCGCTTGAGACTCCTAAAACATTTTGTTCTGTAGGACAAATATCTGATTTGAGAACAGTATTAGAACTATTATTAGACAATATGGACTGGGAATCATGTCGCTGCTGAGGAAAGGTCAACAAGCCAGTACCATAGCCTAAATCACCCACTAAGTGCCCTCTGCTACTTTCGGATTCTTTATTAGGTGTAGGATAAGCAGCAATGCCTCGCTTTTTCTTTCTTATAGATCGTTTCCTGAAACTATCCCTGAGGACATCTATATCACTGTCCTCTTCACTTCCTGAGGATACTTCATTAGGCCTGTCCTTAGCATCACTACTGTCACCTGGGATATGACGAGACAAAGTATTTTTGTGCAGCTCATCTTCACTGGAGCTGTCTTTGAGTCTGACATTAGAGGGGGCCAGCTGTGGTTTTCCTGAACTATGATAGGAATGTAAACTATCCGATTGCTGTCTTGCCTCTTGTTTAGGTAGACCAGATGAAAGTGTGTTCGCTCTCAGACCAAACGGAATACAAGTTCTCGGAGGAGGGGGAGGAGGCTGGGTTTTGGGAACAGTGTTTATTACCCGGTGATCTTTTGTATCCATACATACGGTTTGTTGCTCTGTTCTGCTCTCCGTTAGTGCTCGACAATAAGAACTTTCTGTCCCCGCAGACGGGTTTGTGGACCGGTGCAATGTGCTGGATGGATTGTCTTTGGTATAGTAATTAAAGCTTTTGCTGTTTGTAACTTCCAAGGAACAGTGTCTATGGGGCTCGGTTACTGCCGTCTCTTTTACGAGTGGCCCCGCCTGGCCATGGGGCCTGGGCTCCTCAGTCTCTGGCAGAGAAGAAGCCCTACATGGCAGTTTTCTTGTGCTCTCCCCAAAAAGTTTTCTCATTTCAGTAACACTAGGCCAGTTTGATCCCTCTGCAACTAACAATTCTCTGTTATCGGTCTGGTGCAGAAAACTACAGAAAGAGTTCACTTCATCTACAGAGATCCCTGAGCTTTGACTTTCCCTTGGGTCAAGATAATCATCGGACTTACCTGGCAGTGCCAGGGAAATACCATCGTAGTCAGTCGTGCCCTGTTTAAGCTGTTCTCCATGTAACGTCTCCACAGGCGAGACAGCCTCCTTGGACCTAGTTTGGCAAGCCTTTCTCAAAAGATCCGCTCTCCTCAAGCTTTCATCGTCACTCTGAGCTCCATCGTCCCTCGGGTGAGACGAGAAACGCTGAGAAATTTGACGGACCGATGAGATATTCTTGTCTTTGCTGGCTGCAGAGATTTTGGACACCTTCCTAGTTAAGCTCAGCGATCTGGCAGGAGGACGATGTGTTTTTTGACATGTGGGCTGGGTGACATCTCCTTTCCCGGGCAGATCCGTGCCTCCCTCTTCACTAAAAGCCTTTGCATTCCAGTTCCCCAGTTTTTTAAAGGACACACTCCTGTAAATCCGCACTTTCCTCTCTGCATCCTTTTCGGCCATGGTTAAAAACAATCCAACACCACAGCGGCCTGTTTCTGCTTAATATCCACAAAGAACAACGTCTGGATACGTCATGAGACAGAGTCTTCTAAGAATAAAACACATTCAAACTTTAAATCCATCCATAGGCAGCAAAGCAAAGGGATCCACACAAACATCATTTAGTCCGTAAAGTTTGAAGACTTGGTCAAAGAATGAAAAGTAAAGCTTCATCGCGACCAGAGAAATGATATCCTACTTAGTTCCTGGTAGATTTTCCATCAGTGAGATAAAAATCACAAGCAAGAGGGGAAAAAAAAAAACTTTATGCAAAGTTTCCTTGACAACACTTTAACCCCGGTAAGACCCAACTCAGTCCCAACGCTCAGAAGAAGCCATCCTCCACCAATCAGCAAGCAAAAAGCATTTCCTTGTTGCAATACCATCCAGTCACATGCCCCCGTTGTATTCCGCACATCTCCAAAACACAGGCTTGTAGAATAATCTTTTGGTGGGTTTTTTTTTTCCTCAGTCTCTTGAGTGTTGGTTTCACGTGGGAGAAAACGGCCAAGCTTTACTTAAAAGAGACAAGCTTTCAGAGGAGAGTATTGGAACATTCTTGCCGGTGGTGTATTCCTAAAATAAAGTAGAATACAATTATTGTAATCAGTGAGACGTTGCAAGACTAACTCTAAACTTAATATGGACATTTTCTCATTTTGTTTCTAATAAAGTGAACTGTTTTAGTTTTTATCAACTTGCTACATAAGATATAATCGTTATACTTTAACAGTGATGGGCCACAAAACCAGAGTTGTCTGTCCGCAATAACTATCACTTTGCCTCCCTCTGCTGTTGGTATAGAGGACTAACTGGTTTCCTTAAGTCATTAAATCACATTTCTCAGTTGATATCACAAACATAAAGGAAAGCTCTGCAGTCCAAAACATCTAAAGTTCCCTTAAGAATTTTAAACACATTCCCTGTTGTCAGCTGATGGCAGGATCTTTTATTTTCATTTTAAATCTGATTCCACTTCATGTACAAACTCAACTTGGAAATCAATGGCTCGGCTTCAAGCTTCTGGCTGTCACCATGCTAGGACATGTATTTCTACAAAATGTATCCACTTTGCAAACTGGAGAACTTAAAGTAGCTGAGGTATGAGGAGGTCTGTAGCTCTTCAAAAGTTCAATTTAGGATATGCCTGAATCTATAGTTCCATGAGAGTATAAGAAAAAATAAGCCGATACCTGTAATAGCTTCAGAAGGTAATGAGAACATGCAATTGTTAGGACTTGATAGTCTGGACAAACCATAACTATAAGGATATAAAATTGAAACTGTATGTAATGTAAGGAGGCAAACTGGCCCAGCATTCAAAGTCCAGTTCTATAGGGTTTTGGATGCTCTACCTAAAAGAACAAGCATTGGATGCTCTGTCCATACCTACAGTAATGAACAATCATTGGCTGTTTGGCCCACAGCTAAAAAAAACAAGAATTGAATCATCTGTCCATGCCTAAAGAACAAGTGATCATCTGAACATACCTAAAGAACAAGCAATGGGTGCTCTGCCCATACCTAAAGAGCAAGCATTGGATACTCAGCCCATACTTAACCAGTTGACATCCGCGGTGTTAAACCCCCTTCCCATCCAGGCCATTTTTCAGTATTCAGCGCTGCGGTACTTTAACTGACATTTATTCCGTCATGCAGCGCTGTACTGAAATTAATTTTATACCCTTTTTTGGGGACAGATAGAGCTTTCTTTTGGTGGTATTTATTCACCACTGGGGGTTTTATTTTTTT